GGGGGGAGAAAAGGGGGGGGGGGGGAGGAGACATATGTATGACCTTAAACAATAAAGAATTTTTTTTAAAAAGTTCCTAACAGCACTGTTACCAAGAGTGAAAAATATAAACCGCTCAATGCCCATTATATCAGAAAATAGCTGGCATACTAAAAATTAGGATAATTAAAGGAGGGATTAAAAATAAATTATTTGGGATGAGCTGAGTGTAGAAAAACTACAAAAGACGGTATGGTAGCCCAAAGATAGAAAAGCAGAGCTGCTGCCTCCCCTACATCTGAAAGGAGGAAGGGAGAGAGTAGTTACCCAAATCTGAAAAGACCCAAAGCAAAAGCTATCTTGAAAGCAGTGAACTTGAGGTAAGGAATATAACTAGCTCAAAGCAAGTCCACAGGGAGTAAACTGGGGGAATGAACACCCTTCCTCTGCTTCCTGGTGGGGACTCCCCATTGGCTGACCCCAAGGGAAAGCCAGAGGACGAGGAGCCCACTGACGCCCAGAGAGGCCAACATCCTGGAGCACAGTGGAGATTCGGAGGGACAGAGATACTCAGCATATCCAGCAACAGAATGCATAGAGAATATATTTATACAATGGAATACTGCCCAGCAGGAAAATTAGTGAACTAGAGCTACTTATATCAATATAAATCTCAAAAATCTCATGATGGGCAAAAAAAGGCTTATTAAAATATTTAGAGAATGGGCACTACAGCAGATTGCATTTCCCAAAATCCACCACAGCTATATTCCTGGCTCCCATGTGCTCTTCCAAAATCTTGCCACTCCCCACCAGGAGCTGCAAAGAAAGAAAAGAACAAGGTTTTAGGACAGAATTACAGGAGAAACCTACTTTAACGGAGTAGCCAGGGAAAATCTGTCTGAGAAGTAACTTAACTTTAAATAAGATGTGAAGATTGAGAAAGAGCCAGGCCCCCAGCCAGGCTATTAGCTATGGTAGCCAGGAAGAGCAAGTGCCAAGGTCCTAAGGAGAAAGAGATACTGCAATTGGCCCTTTTAAAAATGCAGTTCAAGAAAGACAGTGTAAAAAAAAAAGAAAGAAAAAGAAAGCCAGTGTGGCCCTGGCCGGCGTGACTCAGTTGGTTGAGTGTTGTCCCGGTGCAGCAAAAGGCTGCCAATTGGATTCCTGGTCAGGGCATATGCGGGCGTTGTGGCTCAGTCCCCAGTGGGGTGTGTTTGATGTTCTGCTCTCACATTGATGCTTCTCTCGCTCTCTCTCCCTCTGCCTTCCTCTCTCTCTAAAAAATACCAATAAAAAATCTTAAAAGAAACCCAGTTTGGCAGAAAAGAAAACTAGGCACGGGAAAGAATGGAGCATGAAGGAAGAAGGTGAGCACAAGCCAGATGCTGCAGGGCACCTGTGACTTCCCTTTGGGTTACAAAACTGGTGAGTGCAAGGGAGGGAATCTGACTCCAGGCAGCAAAATGCCACAGAGAGAACCAGGGAACCAGGGGCAGACTTCCCTCTAGAGCAGTGGTTCTCAACCGTGGCTGCACATTAGAATCACCTGGGAATCTTGTTAAAATCCTGATTTCTGGGCCTCGTCCTCCGGAAATTCTGTTTCTTTGTTACTAATGATGAGGCCCAGAAGTCAGGATTTTAACAAGATTCCCAAGTGATTCTAATGTGCAGCCAAGGTTGAGAACCGCTGCTCTAGACGTTCAGCTCTGGGGCCAACATTCACTTTAGCACCTCGTCTGTGTCAGACACCGGGTTTCAAAAACAGTTTCCATTAAAAGAATAACGTGGTTAATCTGTTACCTATCAGAATCTTAACAAACCCATTTTTACAGCGAGGCAGATTGCCTACATTCAAAGTCCAAGCATTTGACTGACTCTACCACGCCTCTCCACTGTTCTGACGCGCACTGGGAACATTTGGGTGGATGAGTCATATTATAGTAAATAACCGTGATTGCGGCGTATAAAATACATCATGGGGAACGGCCACAATAAAAATAACGACATCTAACGTGCACCAGACGCTTATCGAGTGCCACACAGAACTTTCTGTTATTATTCCCGTTTTACAGATGGGGAAACTGAGGCAAAAACTTGCCGAGGAACGTGTCCTAGGCAAGGCGAGGACACCAAACCCAACTGTAGAGCCCACTCTACTGTGAAGTGCTTCGCCGCCTTACTCTTCTCGCAGGGACGTTAGGTCGCGGCCAGCGAGGCTCCAGGACCCGACTCCCCCCGCGGGCACCCGCGTCTCCATAGCGCCCGAGGAAGCCTTTCCGCCCCGACTGTGCGGACCTTATTTTGGTCCCGACACCGACTGTGGCCCCGATGGGGTCCGGCTGGAGGTGCGCGCAACCACACCAAAGGTTCCCCCGGCGCAAGGTTCCGCAGCCCGAAGCCTTCCCCTCCCCGAGTACCTTCGGGAAACGCGTCCAGGGTCCTGCCCCGGGCTCTGTGGAAAACACCCCCCGCCTCCGCTGCGGACATGGCGAGAGAGTTCCTGGTCCCACCTGAGTGCACTGCGTGGGAGGGAGCGGCGCGACTCCTCACCGCCCAACTGCCGGCAGGGCCAGGCCCGCTAGGGGCGGAGCCTTCTGCCAGG